TCCCCTCCCCTCCCTCCTTCCCTCTTCTCTTACTTCCACTGTTCCTCGCCTCTGACTGGCTCTTGCTGCTAGTTCGCGAGCTCCAGAGGGAGGAAGACGAAATGTTGGGTCAGATGCACAGCATGGACAAGCAAAAAGAGATGCTGAAGCAAGAGGTGAGGAGAAGGCCTGACAAATCCTCCTCCTCCTCCCTCCTCCCTCCTCCCTTCTTGTTCCCTCCTCCCTCCTTCCTCTCCATTTCTCGCCTCTCCAGTGACTCCCTCATTCTCCTTCCTCCCTGATCTTGTTCACATCACAACGTATCCTCACCCACCCTCGTCGTTCGTCTTAGTCATTTCCGCAGATTTATTCTCTTCACAAGATGGTGAAGAGGTACCAAGCTCTTGATCAGGTACCCAACTTCTCCCCCATCACCCTCCAGTGTCCTTTGCACCTTCCCTTCCTCTTTCCCATCTCCCTCAATCCGTCGCTCCCTCCTCCTCCTCTCCTCCTCTCCTCCTCTCCTGCTCTTCTCCTCTCCTGCTCTCCTGCTCCCCTCCTCCTTCCCCTTTTCTCCTCCACTCCTCCTTTGCTCTGCTCCTCTCCCCTCTCCAGCTTCCTCTTATTCATCCTGTCCTCTCCTCCTCTCCTTCTCTGTGCTTCACGTCCCTCCTTTCGCTGTCTCTGACAGAGGGTCCAGGGCAAGTACGAACCCAAAGATGCTGCTGAGGTCGACGAGGGTCTCAGCCGGGCCATGGAGCGACAGTCGACCCTCCGACAGGTGGGTGTTCGGAAGAGGAAGCGGGAGTTGGAGGGAGAGATGGGGAAAGGGGGGAGGGAGGGAGGGAGGAGGGAGGGAGGGAGGAGGGACTGAAGGGAGGACAGATCATGGCGCAGCTCTCTGCTGCAGACGGCCGGCTCGCCTCCTCTCTCGAGGTCTACTTCAGCGACATGTGAAAGAGGAGGAAGACATAGCGCATGTGAAGGATTGGAAGCAACTCCCATCATGCAGGAAGCAGGAGGTCTACGTTTGACCTCCACCTCCGCTCGTGCATGTACAGTAGCTCGTGTTTGATAAGTTGTCCAGAGAAAGATCTTTACAGAGTGGAAACAACCCTTCCTCCACCACCACCACCACATCCTCCTCCTCCTCCTCGCTTCCTCATGAAAGAATTCAAGAATATCAACAACACTCAGCTGCCTTCATTGCCTTCTTTAGTGGTGAGCCTTCTTGCCGTCGACATTCCACAGCTGCGGCATCATCCACACCACGTTGGTTCCCATGTCACCCTCAGAGTTGCCGGAGTTGTCGGCCCACTTAGCGAGCATGTAGGTGTGTGTCTTGGGGTCCAACAGGGACGGCGACTTCTTGTGCTCCCACAGACTCTGAAGCTGCCGAGCCAAGTCAGCTACAGGTAGGCAATGGCTGTGACAAGGAGGAGGAGGCAGGTGATGCGAGTCGTGATCTGGGGGAAGATGCGGTGATGGTAAACGAGCACACGCAGGGGGAGGACACGAGCCGAGGACAGGAACGGTTGCTGAGATTGAACAGAAACATCAGGGAGAAACATAGGAGCTTGTTACATCACACCGCTCGGAACTGACTGTTGATTTTCAACACATGCAAACGCACAGTGTGCCGGATAGACAACCATCATGAGCACCACAGCTTAACTTTCCAGCATCATATATCACCACCACCACCACCGCCGCCGCCACCATCGTTGATTGTTTTCTCATCGTTCATTGTTCCATAAAGATCATATTCATCTCCACCGTCATCACGGCATTCAATCCAACGATCATCACTGTGAGGACAACCCAACTATGTTGGTACTGGATAACCTTCCCCTCGCACACTCTGCTCTCCTGCTCTCCTGCTCACACGACTCACCATGGCGATTGTTGGCTCTTGTGCGAAGGGTCACCACCCCGCCTCAGATCACCACACCGGCCGGCCGGGTCCGGGGCCCATTTGTTTTTTGGGCCGCGCCGCCGCCGCAGCTCACTGAGTCAGGGCGGCGGCCTGGGCAGGCTGAGCCCGGGCCAGGCTCCGCTGGCACTGAGCGGTGGCGGCACTGAGCTGAGCGGCAGCCCGCTGGGCCGGGCCCGGGCACTGCGGCAGCCGGCACCGCCGGGGCCAAGTTCCCCCGGCTGCGGCGGCGTGTTGGCACTGACTCGGAGCCCGGCGGCCCGGCCCCGGCCCGGCCTGCCAGCCTGGCCGTCACGTCAAAAAATAACTTTTCAACTTGGACGGAGGCTCCGGGATACCGTGGTACCGTGCCGTGCCAATACGTTTGTACCGTAGACTACGGAGAGACGGAACTGACGGACCGTGCAGGTCCGAGGCCGACTAAACCTAACTAAACCAGCGCTAAACCCCCCTAAACGTGACCTCGGAGAGTTTTAACCGCCTCCTTCACTTGCCAGTCGCTCCTTTAAAACCCGACTTTTAAAACAGCCGGTCGCTTTACCCCTACTATCAGTCATCATGCCCACCCACCCACCCCCCTGACCCGGCAGTCACTGAGTGGTCCCAGTCAGATTGATAACTGGCAGGGCCCTACCACCCCACCCGGTGTCGCCGTACTTGTATATCTTCACTGTTACTACACGCCGTGGCATCGCCAGTCTGGCAGGGCTGCACAGCGGCACACAGATAACCAACTATGTCCCCCATGGTGTCCGATCTTCTAAGTGCTCTCCAATCTCTGAGGGCGGAGCCCTTGTGTAGTCGATTTGCCGTAATGCCATCGCAGAGCTTGCAGCCTCACCGGACGAGGCCCTTCCGCGGGACATTGGTCGAAAATAGCGCAGTACCCCACCCACCCCTGCAGCCTCCCCAAATTGTACCCCAGTGATCACTGATGTTGGACCCCTACCCCTGTCTCACCACACCGAAAAGGTACCGGGCGCTCCCTGCTGGTCAAAGAGAACTTTCTGACCCCACCCCCTATTGTGTAGAATGTGGGTCAAGGGGGGGTAGAGGATGGCTCGGAAGGTTACTCGCCCCCTTCAAGTTCAGGGGCAAGGATCGGGGGCATAAAGGGGGCAGGTAGCAATCCGATGACGAGCAAGAGGAAGGGAGCGAAGAGAGACGAGGAGGCACAGTGAGGAAGATACCAGAGGCAGGGAAGGAGTGAAGGAGGCAGGCAGGCAGGCAGGCAGGCAGCAGAGCATCACAAAGGAAATGATCCCGAGAGAGAAAGAAACTGAAAGGAAAGGAGCGAGTGAAGGAGAGCGATGTTAAGAAAGAGACTGGTAGAGAGGAAACGCAAAGATAGCCTTTTATGCGTGATGAATGAATGTTTGCAATATCATCGTTCTGCGCATGGCTGACCAGCCTTTCTCAGGATTGTTGTCAATCTACAAATACTCGTAGCTAATTTAGCTTCATCGACTTTATCTCCTTTCTCCGCCCTCACAACAGCATGTCGGTCAAATTTGTTCCTACACAACCCAGCATGAAGAGCATGAAGAGCATGAAGAGCATGAAGAGTCTCAAGCAACCGAAGCTATGCAGGAGAGACTTCCTCAAGCTGAAGAATATGTTTGATGAGCTCGACACGGACAAGAACGGATCCCTAGACTCGGGCGAGTTTGCTGTCTTCATCCGCAAGATGGGCATCATGGTATCCCATGAGAGCATTGATAAGAATCACGACGGCGTCATCGACTTCAAGGAGATGCTTCAGTTCGTATATCCTGATGCAAGCCCCTCGGCCATTCAGAGCATCTGCCGGGAGCACGAAGCTGACGACAAAGACCAGGACAGTTCGTCCAGCGATAGTCTTCTTCAATCGCAGCTCGACGAGATCAAACAGCTCTTTGAGTTTCACGCGCGCGGCGAGAGGACCATCACGCGGAAGGGACTGATCAAGGTGCGGTCCTCGCAGCTAGCTCCTCCTCAGCGTGCCTCGTGGCGGCTCACGACCTGATGCAGGCGATGGTGTTCCCCGGAGGATACACCGAAGAAGAGGTGAGCAGCGCTGCTGCGCCATGCTCTCTGCTTGTCACGGGGGTTGACGAGGACGGTGCGCAGGTGGTGAAGATCTTGGAGGAGTTCGATGCGGACGGGGACGGGGAGCTGAGCTTGGAGGAGTACACGGAGATGATGAAGATAGCGTACAAGATCTGCAACAAGTGCATGTGCACGAGGTCACTTAGCATTGGTCATTGCCCGGACTGTCAACGGCAGAAAATTGGAACTAACGGACTGTGAGGAACTCAAAGCCTCAGTGAGGCACTGCAGTAGCGCACAGGCTGAGGTCGTGTACACGATGGAGAGTTCAAGGTTCGGAGCCACGGAATTGTATATTAATTGTCTGTTTCATGTTATCATAGTAAGATCTGAATACTGTTATTTTTGCCACTGAGTCATGAATAATGTTACTAGCATCACAAATTGCCGCGTTGCCGGGCCGGGCCGCGCCGGCCGCACACCCGGTGACCGCCGCCGTCGGCGTGTGCCACAGTGCCGGCCGGCGGCGGCACGGGGGGCAGTACGGAGTACGGTACCGTACTACTGAGCGGCTGCCGCGGCCGGGCGCGGCGGCCGCGCGGCGCCGAAGGCCTGGCAGGCTGCCCAGTGCCGCCGGACTCGGTCCCGGATCACGCGGCAGCACTGCGCCGGGCCATGTGATCCGATCATCGCCGTTCGACTTACTAAGTTACAAGTTAGTGTAGTACGAGGCCGCCGGTCGGATCATCGCGGCGGCTCGGCCGGATGGCCGGGCAGACTCGCCCGCGGCGCCGCCGCCCCACCGTGACTGAGAGCCGCCGGGCCAGCCTGGCACTGCAGGCCGGCGCCGGCGCGGCCGGCCGCTGGCAGCGGCCCCCGACGTGGCTCTGATCATCGGATCGGACTCCTACTGGCGATCCGATGATTCAATATCGGCGTGACGGCGAACTTGGTGACTCGTCCCGGTCACTGGCACTCAGTGACTTTCAACTTTGCCAAGTTGAGTGAAAACTTCCGAAGTTCTTCAAGTTGACTCGGGAACTGAACTGAGGAAACTTTACTCAAAGTTGACTAAAGATATGACTTCCGGAAGTCACTGAACCCCTGGCCGCAGTTTTGTGCAAGTCACAATCACGAATTTAACCAAAGTTGAGTAAAACATGGTAGGAAGCACGCTCGATTGATTTACTCAACATTGAGTAAATATAATAATGCCGGGAATAGCGATTTATCTAGTCATCAGAGTGGGGATCAAAGAGGACTCAACTAAAAATACCCCTCCTATCCTCTCCGCAGGACCTGCCATGACGGTGAACCCACCCCTGTTCCACCTCTGTTTCGATATTCGTAACTACCCTCGACAAGCCTCACCTTCTTTTGAAGCCATCACAAGGCTTGTTTTTTGCAGCTACACCCATCACACGTCAGATGGCTTCTCCTGTACCCCTCCTTTGCACTACCCCCTTCATACACACCCGTCCTTTCCACTAGTACCTCTGACAAATATAAAAAGTCACAGCGAACCTTTTTCTTGTCCACTTTCGGCCTGCTAAGACTACCCACCCCTCCGTCCTCACCGCACAGCCCACCCACCGTACCCGACTCAATTGACACATGGAGAGACGCCGGGTAGGAGGGGTGCAGAGAACCAACAATTATTCTTCAACTATGGGGGTAGTACCCCACCCCCTCAATTCAAAGGGCTGGACGGGGATGACTGACTGTCATGACGGTCATCCGGGCCAGTACCACCTACAGCAGGCCGCGCATCAAGGACCACTACCCCACACACCGTCACATCACTACCCCACCCATACCTCATACTACAATCATCCCACCCCACCTGGCACTCTCATCACCCACGGAATCGGAACCGCGTCTGAGCGCAGGCAGTGAGGCCAAAAATTGGATCAACGTGTCGATCCAACTTAACTTACATGTGCGACCCCTGGTACCCCCTACCCCTACCCCTATTTCACCACTGTCACCTGTTGTAGTGTACCCCTGGTGTCACCGTAAGGAAATTCCGAGTACCACCCCAACCCCCCCCAACATACCGGGGGCCCTCTGAAAGTTACATTTTTAAAAGTTCTCTGTCTGAGTACCCCTACCTACCTCAGAGGAAGGATTTCCCGCTACCCTACCCTAGACTTTGAGTAGGAAAGGAGGGTAGAGAGAGGTCACAAGGACCGGGACCGGAAGGGGTACCTGGTACGTTTTCTACCCCACCCACCCCACCCCCATGCTCGGAAATGCCACCCAGGATGTTGACTTTGCGACCACCCCTATCAGCCCCAACTCGAGGAGTTCCGGTCAATCTCTGAGGTACTTCATGGTCTCATTAGGGGGTGGGGGTGATGTACCCCACCCTCAATTTGGGGTCCGTACTCGGGGTATCACTTATTTATCGTCAGTTCACCTCCAAAAGTGAGATAAAACTGCAAGTTGTTGGGGGAGGATGCGGCAAGAGAAGGATGCGGCAAGAGAAGGACGGGAGGGATTCAGCTAGAGCAGACCCTCGGCAATGAGTCTCGGGGTGAATGGTAGAGCATTTAGACGGTTATGCAGTTAGACGGTTATGCCCAGTCAAAGAGGCTTCTCAGTACATTCTTTTTTCCTCTCTCTCTCTATGAGGACATCAACAAAACTTTTTCACAGATCGCTGACCATGCTTTCTCAGGCTTTCTCTCATACTCTCAACTAGTTAGCTTCATCGTTATCACTTCGTTCCTCCGTCCTCTCAGATAGCATGTCGGCCAAATCTCCTTCAACATCCACCACAAGCAAGAGGAAGCACCTGAAACTGAACAGGAAGGATTTTCTCAAGGTAAAGCAATTGTTTGATGAGCTCGACACGGACAAGAACGGATCCCTAGACTCGAGCGAGTTTGCCGTCTTCGTCCGCATGATGGGCATAATGGTAGCGCACGACAACATGGACAGAAACAACGATGGAAGAATAGACTTCAAGGAGATGCTTCAGTTCGTGTATCCTGGCGCAAGCCCCTCTGCCATTCAGAGCTTCCTAAGGGAGCAAGCGGGTGAAAGCAAGGACTCACGTAGCACACCCAGCGTCGTTCTGCTCAAGTCGCAGCTCGACGAGATCAAGCAGCTATTCGAGTTGCATTCGCGGGGGGGCAGGACGATATCACGGGAAGCTCTGATCGAGGTGCAGTCCTCTCCCAGGAGCAATCGCTCCTCCTCCATGTTTCTCGTGGCGGCTCACGACCTGATGCAGGCGATGGTGTTCCCCGGAGGATACACCGAAGAAGAGGTGAGCAGCGCTGCTGCGCCATGCTCTCTCCTTGTCACGGGGGTTGACGAGGACGGTGCGCAGGTGGTGAAGATCTTGGAGGAGTTCGATGCGGACGGGGACGGGGAGCTGAGCTTGGAGGAGTACACGGAGATGATGAAGATAGCGTACAAGATCTGCAACAAGTGCATGTGCACGCGGGCCGAGAGCTCGGGTACCTGCAAAGAATGTCGGAGTTTTGGGACGCAAGGTACAAGTGGGTAGGGGAAACTGGATGGAGCGGCTGTGCCGCACAGGGAGAGATTTGTAGATAGTTGTTGTGTCATGTTATTTTTGTTGTTAGTAGACAATGTTGTCACCACCATCCCAGCCACGAGCTGATATAGACTGAGTCCCTATGCTGTCACATCGTTTCAGTGCAAAACGCTCCACTCGCCCCTATCCTCTCGTCCGCGATCCTGCCTCCGGTATCCACCATGACTAGAGCTCTCGCTGCGTCCAATCTCCGTCAGATGCAGTGCGGACAACATTTGGTATCGCGTGTACCGTTTGCGGGATCTCCCATCGTCATAAGTCGAACGACGATCTTCTTTTCGCTCGTCGCGCTGAACAGGAAACGTCACTCCTTGTCTTGTGATCGCAACACCTCTAGCACCATATCCCTCGTTGACTCCCTTGGCCGATCTCTTGCAATGTCTCTAGCCGTATCCCTCGGGATATCTCTAGACGTATCCCTCAGGATATCTCTAGACGTATCCCTCGGGATATCTCTCTGACTGTCTCTGGTTGACTCCCTAGGGAACTCCCTCGGCATCTCTCTGTAGGAATCCCTCCTGGAGCCATCCCTTTGTATGTCTCTAGATGTATCCTTGGGGATATCTCTCGAGATCTCTCGAGAAGAGGCCCTCGAGTCCCTCGGCAAATCTTTGGACGACTCCCTCGGGGAGGAGTACAACCGTGTGACGCTCTGGGCCTGAAGGATCTGGTCAGCGCGGCAGGCGCACACGTTCTCTCCCAACCTCGTCCCGAGAGGAGGAGACGTCTCGTCCATGGGAGATGCTGCTGTGCTCGTAATAGCGCTCGAGCATCCGATGGAGTTGCTTCCTGCTCGCAGGGTTAGTCGTTCTCTGACAATCCGCTTTTTCTTCCTCCTCCATCCGCACCTCTCCTCGTTGGCAGAGCGCAGATCCGCAATCAGTGACTCCCCTTCGACATAATTTTAGGAGATGTAAGATAGGACCATACCAATCTTGCACACTTTCATCAGAGCGTTTGTCAACTTCTCTTTGAAGTTGTTGAGTCATCTATGGAGGCAAAAGTCATGGAAGAGAGATGAGGAGATAGGAAAAAACCGTCTCTAAGTCCGACTTCTGGTTAGCTACATCTGTCGATTCCTGGGTGATCCAATCATTTGTGATTGAGACTTCCCTGATGTAAACCTTTCTCGCTTTCTTGATTTCTTCTTTCATCTGACAGTACCTCAGAAACAGAGGAACAGCGAAAGAACCGTCTCGACGAACCTGAGAGATCTCCTTTAGCAAGGTGGCTTTCGTCTCGGCATGCATTTCGCTCTTCTTGAGTCCTGCTAACTACATGCAGCCCTCACATCACATGGATTGCGAACACTTTGAAAGACAGACGACAGTGCGCTGTTTTCATTCTCTACCTTGGCTTCCACAGCAACCCTCTGTTGCTTCAAGTCATCCAACTGCCAAAACAGCGACAATGTGAGCGAAGTGAGAGACGCGAGAGATACCGGACCTGCTGTCTAAGATCTCTGATCTTCATCCTCGCCTGCGTCAGCGGACTATCTGCCTTGGGTTCTTCCACTGGGTTGGCCTGAGGCTGCAACGCCGAGTCAGCGCTCCCTCCTGAAGCCGTCAAGACCGAGAGAGACCGTGGGAGGAGGAGCCTCGTTCGCCTGCAGCTCCTCATTCCTCCTCTTCCGAGAGAACAGCTGCTTCGTTTGCTGCAGCACCGCCCCGTCATGCCCTTAACTAGCATCCAGGGGAGGAGACGTGTTCAGATCACCTGGCTCTGGTCAGCAGCTGGCTGCGCCTGCTGGAGGAAGAGGGTCACCATGGCATCGTAGAGAAGCACAGGCTACCGGTGGCTGATTGGAGCGATTGGACAGCATGGATCTCAGATCCTTGACGTGAGGGGTAGACGATAGGGTTGCCCGCAGGTCCGTAGGCCTTGCTGACCTAGCCTAAGAATGCAGAGGAGTGATGAAAGGTCAATCAGCATGCAGCAAGTCAACTCCACCTTCTCCATCCTGTTGATGCCTGTGATCGTGACTTCGTAACCTCCTCCTTTTCCCATGCCGAACCTGCAACCCACGCATGATTGTGTGAATGAGATAGTGATTGCTCATGATCTCCAGCGCATCAATTGCTTTCCATGGCCAAACCCTCTCATAGTTGTGCATGCTGGTTTGAAGGACGGAGCATTCGCTTGCAAACTGTCCTGGGCCTTCCTTTACGATAGGAGCGCATCTAGTTGACTAGCTGAGGAAACGCAGGGAAATGCAGGGAAACGCAGGGAAGAGGAGGGTGAGAAGAAGTAGAGGAGGCGGGTCATGGGAGAAGAAATCGATCTCTACATTCTGATCATAATCTGACTGCTCTTTCATCCTCCTACTCCTCCTCCCTCCTCCAATCTCTTCCTCCCTCCTTCCCGCCATTCCTCTCTCAGGGCCCTCATCCCCACCCTGAATCGTGTATTGTCACCAGTATCTGCCCGGCCAGTATTGCCCGGCCCGGCGGCCAGTACCGTACGGTATTGTCACACTGCCAGGCTGTTGTCACGGCAGTGTCACAGGCCGCCGTCGCCGGGCTCAGTGGACCCGGCAGCCCGGACCGAGTCTCCGAGGCTGACTCGGCGGCGAGCGTACCGGGCCCCGGGGAGCCCCGGCGGACGGTGCCCGGCTCGGGCCCACTTGGCAAGGAACCGCCGGTTTGAACTTCGGAACTGAATCCGAACTCGCCCGGAGCCTTCACTGTCACAGAGCGAGGGTCTCGGACTGACCGGAGCGCCGCGGCCGCGGGCCGCGACTGGGCCCGCGGCGGCGGGCGGCGGCGGGGCTGCCCTGGGAAGCTCCCAGTGTTCACAGCCAAGTCTATCGTGGCAGTTGAACGATTTAATACTGTGTGAAGCCGCCGAGTTGTACTATGATGAGTCGCTGCCAGCCTTGACTCAGTCCGACTTGGAGCGTTAGGAGTCAGACGATCACTCGCAGGTGCTGATCGACTGCAGCTCGGCGGCGGGCGAGCAGGGGAGAGCTGGGAAGATGTCATGATCACTAGCCTCAACAGAAACCCGGTCGTGATGATCTTCCTCAGGTATCGATGACGAGCTCCAGTCCAGCTGTGAAGCTTCAAGGAAGCAAGCTCAGCTCAGGTCGAGTTCAGCGGCTTCTTCAGGTCTACCTGTCAGGATCTCACGAGGCCCCGTCCGCCTCTTGGCCACTATCGCGCTTCCCCTCTGCAGATTCTCTGGTGTCCTTGAAGCCTGTCGCTCACAGTCTACGTCAGCACCAGCTGATGTCACTGCTGTCAAAGTCACCGGGACTTTGAGGTTTGACTCGCTCCTCGGTGACTCCACTAGCGCTGCTCCGCTCCTCGCCCTCAGCCTCTCGTTCCCGTCCTTGCTCGTGCCTGGTTTGCGTTTAGCCGGGGGCTGAGCAGGATGATGCCCCGTCTTCTCAGGAGGCTGCATGATCCTGGGCAGCATTAGACGTCGAGGGCGAGCTAGTCAGGCGGCTTCTACCGTCCTGCCCGTCTCAACTTCTGCATCCCCGCATGGTCGATATGCCTCCCATCCTCCAACATCCTGCGGGCTCAGGGTGACTCGAGCGGCTCTCGATGGAGGTGGGGGATAGGGACCTCAGGAGCGACTCCCTGCTGTCAGACAGCGACCTAAGCTGCTGTACCTCCCGCAGCGCTTGCTCGAGCTCGACCGAGTTGTCTTCTTGCACTCTCTGTAGCAAACAAGTCGGGATGCCTTAGTTGGTGGCTGTGCGCCTTGCCGGGCAAATGGCAACTCACTCACATGGCTAGAAATCATTTCTTGTCTTTCACATTCCAAGTTCTGGATCTTCTCCACCAGCTGCAGGCGAGTCAGCGTGCTTCATGGCAGCATTCAAACCATTCCTGCTTCTTCTCTTTTCCAAACATGTCGTAAGCTTTGTCCAACGCTACTGTCACCGCCTTCCGTCCTCTAGTCACATTGGGAGTAGGCAAGCAGCAAAGAACCGTCTGCATCTCGTTTTCTAGTTCTTCCAACGCCTCGTTCAAATCGTTGACCTCTGCCTGCTAGGAGCTCAGAGCACGGGCCTTGCCTTTTCTTCACCTCGTCACCTTATACAGCAACATCTCCTGCGCCTCTTGCTTGGCTTTGTACAACTCCGTTCTGACCTTCTCCAGCTGACGTCATGAAAGAGTGAACGACTGGACACACTTCAGTAACTCGGGCAAGCCACCTGATCCTCGAGGAATTTGATCCTCTGGAACAAGATCTCCTGAGCCTGCAAGGGGACGATGACAAACTCAAACAGGAAGACGAGGGAGCAGAGCAACCTCGTTGTGGCTCTGAGAAAAGAGAGTGAGACAGACAACAACGACAACAAACCTCTTCCTACAGACCTGCTGCATCTCGTGCATCATCGTCAGGCCGTTCTCGTAGAGCTGAGATTTCATGGATCTGCAAGCAGCAGGTAGATGATGAGCAATTGGGTGAGGCTCAGAGGAAGCATCTAACAGTTCGCGCTGAAGATCCGACTTCTCTCTGTCGAAGGTGCTTGTCATATCGCGGATTTCTGACTCCAGCGATGATATTCTTGTCTCCTTGCTGGTTACATGCGCTCTCATCAGCTCCATCTCGCAGTCGCAGCAAACTTACATGTCGATCTCCTCCTGCAGCTCCTTTGATCGTTGAAGCTCACTCTTGAGTGCGTTCACCAGCTCCTTCGCAGTCTCACTCTCATGCTTTTCCGAATCCATGTCGGCAGCTGCGCACACAGATCAGCCTTTGTACTGCAGGAATCTACTCGTTGTTGAGTTGTTGAGAACGATGAGCAAGATTTCAGCAAACTTCATTCCTTCTCATTCAACAACTGACATGCTTCACGCTACCAACAGGCCACCGAAGTCGAAACAGACACGCGTGCATAATCACACGTATCACAACAGCTCTAAACTCTCTTTCGCTAAACTCCCTTTCTGCCATTCTACCCGTCCAACTCCAGGATGCTGCTGGATCAGTGACAGGCATCTCCTGCTATTGACAATTATCCCAATCCTGTCACTTCCGTTGCTCAATGCTGCTCTCACTTTGTTCAGTGCTGCTTTCCTCCTCTAACTGCATCTGCTGCTCTCATCTCAGTCCTCTCACGGCATCTGCGCGGCTTGCACCTCAGTCTCAGTCGTCGTCTGTTGCCCCCCAGACAGCAGGGCTCCTTACTGAACTATGTCACTGAACTATTTCCTGATTCTTTCGTGATCCTGTCAGCCTGCCGGCGTCACAGTGCGTCTCCTGCCTCGGATCAGGACTTGAGGGTTGTTCAATCTTGATCACTGTTCTGTAAGAGAAGTCACTGTCACGATCATCTTCATCGTAGCTCATCCCATTTTCACGCCATTGCATGATTCCCAACTGATCGCTGATTTCGCATGCCTGGGGTCTCATATAAAACAGGCCCTAGCTACCGTTCATATCTTTGAGAAAAGATATTGAAGGCTGCCCTTTTCTTTGTCTATTAGGCCTCGGTCAGTTACTTCTGTCTTCTCCTTTCTGCTAAGTAGTAATCCTGAGGTTGGCCTGCTCTTTGACATGCGCCGCACGGTACGAAATACTCTCAGAGTAGCCTCGCCGTCGGACCCGGTCGGACCGGGTCGGAGGCCCGGACCCTCACTGCCGACTTAACTTTGAGCTCAGCCACGGTGACTCAGGTGAGGCCCTGAGTCTACTTTACTCAAAGTTAAGTTAAAAATTCAAGTACTCACAGAGTACCGTACGGTACGGCCGGGCGAGTTCACTTGAACTGAATCCCGGCCGCTACCCGGTTCAGTGCCACGGTGATTGAGGCCCGGCCCGGTCGGCCACCGGGACAATGATCGGATGGGGAACTGAGAATCATAGTAGCCTGGGAGTTAAACGCCTAGCCGGGCCCCGGCCCCGGGCCGGGTGGGGGGGCCCGGGGGTACTACGGTAGGGCCGGGGCCGGGGGGCTCCGTGTACGGTAGACTCGATGACTATGTAAGTGAGGAGTCCGATCGTTTGACTATGGCGGGGGGCCCACGACACTGAAATTGGCGGGGCTGGTGCTGGCGCTCATGGCGGCGGTGATGGTGAAAGAGAGCAGATGCGATGCCGCTTAGTATAGTGACATGCGGCTCCCAGTGTAATGTCCGATCACCGTCATCACGGGCGTCGTTGAGCTGCAGGGGTACTGCACTGCCCTTGACCTTGGCGGCGCAGTGCGGCAGGTCAAAGAAATCCCTGCAGGATTGTTCTCCGGCTTGGCTGCCTTGACAGGCCGGTCAACCTGTTATTCATATTGTTCTCAAAAGCTCCGATCGGAGTGCTTTCGGTAACAGCAGCATGCTTGGATTCAAGTTCAAGCTGACTGAGTTGGATCTCTCACACAACAATCCCACAAGTGAGCCCAGGATGGGCCAGCTGAACTCTCTAGTTTCCCTCAACATACAACGAACTGATGATGGTATCAGAAGGTGACTTCGCAGGTTTGCAGTCATTGAAGAACCTCGACATCTCGGGCAATTACATCGAGTCCATCCCTCCTCATGTGTTTGACTAAGTCGTTGGTCTCGTCTACTTCAACCTTTCCTTCAACCGCATTGCTTCTCTGGACGAGAGCTCTTTTCCCAACTTCATGAATCTGACGGTCTTGGATTTGTCCAATAATGCGCTCACAACAATTTACAATGGAGCCTCCAATGTCTCAGCCTCTACCATCAACATCACAAACAACAACATCTCCTGTATCAGTTACGATGCATTTTCCATTGTCAGTGCAGGCAATCTACCTCGCAGGCATTCCTCTCATATTTCTAGACGCATCGTGGATGGGCAAGGTGCAGGACAGTATGCTGTCCGCTTATCCAACATCTCGAACTTGCGCACCAGGAGAAATCTTACCTTGCAGTGAGCCTGCAATGCTGGGTTGTATCCTGCGTTCGATGGTGTTCTGTGCAGATGTCAACCTTGTCCTCCAGGAATGTACAAGGACATGCATGGAGAGTACAACTGTACCATGTGCGCCACGACTCCATGTGAGATCGGACAGTGCAGGCCACAATGCAACTCCACGGCTGATAGCGTCTGTGCCAACTGCACGAACAAGCTGGAAGGACCCACAGTCTACGTCTCGTCGGGATATCCTTATGATCAGAACGACTGTGCCTGGGACGGCAATGCCGGACTCATGTTGTCCATGGACAGCGCACGCGCCATCTCTTGGGTGTAAAGTTTCATTTCCATGAGCCTCCCTGTAACGATCTGTTTCCTTGTAAGATCTGTTTTCATTCCTGTCCTTGTCGTTGTTTTGCGCGGCATGCTCTGTCCCTCCCCACAGAGTGCCAATCTGCACGAAACGCTATCGCTGCAGGTTAGGTCAGATAAATTCGCTCTTCTTGGTTCCTCTATCGTCTCGTCTCATGACATCCGGGATGCTATTGTTTATTTTCATGATTGACTAGTTTGCATGTTATAGAAAGGCGAAGATGGAAATTCGAACAGGGTGGACTGAGTCTTGGAGGACTTCTTTGGTTTGTCGCTGATGATTGGCTGTGCCATGTCAAAGTGCACCAGGATTTCTCCTTGGAATCCCACAAGATCCTTGTGCTGAGTAGGATCAGAAAGCACTGCCTGACACAGCTCTTCCATGTTTGCAAGCTCTTCTTTCGTGAACCTGATGTAGAGCGAGAGACATTCCACCTCAACTTCCATGTGGTTTGCATGATCAGGGCAGAAACGGATCCCGTCTCCACCCGGAACGTAGAGGTACATGAGGTACATGGAGTGCTTGCAGTAGCAGCACATGACACGCTTGTCCACCCTATCGCTCTGCTCGGGGGAACCTCGCGAACTTCGGGTGATTCTCTGTATCTTGACTCCCCTCTCTTCGGCTACTTTGATCACGGCTTGCTGCCACCGGATGAGAGTGACGAGAGCTTGAGCACTGTACACGCTGACGTTGAAGAAGCTCGAATCGTTGAAGAGGAACTTCTCCAGGTTGAGGACCGACTCCCGTCCGATCCCTCGATGGCTTTCCAGGGAGCTAAATCCGTAAGGGATCCACTCGGGCAGAGCAAAGTTTACAGCTTCGCCTGCACACGGGCCGTGTGAGCACGCTTCAAGTTTGCACACCGCTCTAGCACAGATCTCTGCTTACCGACATTGAAGCCATGGCTGAAACCTGAGTGATAAGATCTTGGCATGGTTATGACGAACTCACCGGGCCTTTGCACTAACTCGTAGACAGGTATGCCAGCGTCTAACAGGAGGTTCGGAGAGATCATAGACAGCTTCTGGTATAACCGACAAGACAGGTCATCCTTTTGTTCGAATAGGCTCTTGGCCAGCTTCTCCAACTTCTGAGCTTCGTGGCCTGGGACCCCATACCAGGTCTTGGCCGATCCCTTGTGCATGTAGTTGAGAGAGTAGAGGGCGTTGTCTTCAATGTGCCAACCGAACATGGAGAAAGCATGCCCCACATAGAGCATCGGAAGGTTTACTCCGCAGATGTCAGGATCACCCGAGCTTCGTATCATTCCCAGCAAGGAATCGTTTGAGAACTTCTCAAGGTTCCACTTTCCCGCATCCTCGCTACACGCAGTCCCTGTCAAATCTGATCCGTACAAGAAGGCACAAGAGTTGGTCCTGCAGACATGTTCCCAGAATATCCTGTTGGCATCCTTGGATTCATCAGCGAAGACATTTCTTCTTCCTGACGCCTCCTCCTCGAACTTGTCCAACGTGAAATGTTTGCTCATGTGCTCAACCTTGAACTCGAAAGCCACACCCCAACTGTCATTCAGCTGCCGAGCGAAATTATCGATCTTTACAAACGGTCCGATCAGTGATATGCTTGTGACTTACAGGTAAGACGGTCTTCTTTTGAACGGTCTGGCGTCGAACGCAGAAGAGACGGTCTGAGTTCTCAAACACACCAAAGCAGGGAGCAAACATCGGCTTCCATGTGCATGGAGGAATGATCTTCACGACTCCGTACCTGCAACAAAGGTCAGGGGCCGGTTAGACAAACCTCATGCGGGTCGCCGAACATTGGGAGGATCGGTTTTTTCGTTAGGAAAATAGACATCTAGTATCTAACGTCCACAAAGAGCAGAACCATCCACTCACGGCATTCAACCACATCAAGAAACAAAGCAAACAGCAAGCAAACAAACCAACATCCATTTCAGGGGGTGTACTTGGATGCCTCGGATTGAATCTTAGAGATGTAAGACAGCGGGTCCTTGAATTCATCTTCTGTAGGATGGAATTCCTTTGCTCGAGGAAGGGAGAATCGAACCCGTTGCTTCTCATCACCCGCACATATCTCAGGTGACTTGCACTTCTTCTTGCGGAGCTTGTCATCGTTTTCTTGTTCAAACCTGCGGATGCGCTCCAGATCCTTTGAAGGAGAATCAGGAGACAAGCCATACAATGTCTTACTAAAACCTTTCGAAGTTCGCGATCCATCTCTTATGACTTTCCAACACGCCCTGACACCTGCATTGTGTATATGACTGTCAAGTGCAATTGTGAAACCTGATCATCAACCAGGCTATTCGAAATAGCATCAGCGATCCCATTCTCAATAATCGACAAAGCATGCTTGAGCGCTACATTGGATCTACTATTCTTGGGGATGCTTTGCATGGCAAAAAATGGTTCTTTGCAGGATCCCAAGTCCAGTAGCACCTTCTTCAAATGAAATAGCACGAAAACAGGAGCCGGAACTTGCTTCACACGATGCAATTTCACGAAGCCTTTGCAGTCTCTATCACATCTAGCATCCTCTCTGCCTCCTCTGCCTCTCTCCTCTCCCTGTCGTCTGCTTCCATTCCCCGCCCTCCTCCCCCCCTTCCATCCCCCTTGCATTCCTACCAAAAGTTTGCACTGCTCCATGCTTTCTACCCCTACCCCGATTTGTTTACCCCACCTCCACCCTCCAAACCATGTACCCCAAAGATTTTATATAACCCCTACCTTTTCGTTGATCACCCTTCATTGAAATTTAGTACCCCTTAAATTTAGCTATTTATATACCCCATTTCACCTCCATTGTGGTGGCTATTTCCATGTACACCCCTCCATAATATGTCACTACCCTAGTATCTCGACATAGACCCCCTAAAAGTTCCCCACACACTTTACAATTTGGTGGGGATGATGAAGCTATGACCAGCCTACCCTACCCTCTGGATGGACCCCCCCCCGGTTTGTACCCTGGTAATCCTGCCCCCCTACAACAATCCTAGGACTTCAGGACTAGGAAGCTACTATAGGACAATATCAAAGGGGTAGCACTGTATATTTTAAGGGGTCAAAAGTGAAAAAAGAGGGTGGGTACTACAAACTAAGATAGGGTGGGTGGGGTTACACCGGTCGCTGTTGACAGAATACGATTGAGATGGTGACCGGTAGGACCCTCTCAAGGGGTGGGTTGGGTCATGTATTAATGGGGGTGGTACTAACCTACCAGAGGCAGGGGGGGGTACCTGAAACCGATAACGCCGGGCCCCGGCACGGGCCCGGAGGTTCAAAGGTCATCGGGGACTGAGGCTGAAAACTGACCTGAGGCAAGCCTGGAAATTGGAGGGTATAGAACCCCTCCATACTCGCTGGAAAGGACCCCACCTGGAACATATAAGGTGGATACCCCACCCCACCCCCTCGACACGTGCTCCCTCCCCAATCTTTCTTTCGTTCCAGCTTGTACGTTTGAGCCATCAGGGTAGGGTACTTGTACAACCCCTAATTTGAATGGTAATTTGTGGGGTCTGTGGGGGTAGAGGGTACTAAAGATGTACATTGAATGTGGGGTACTCGCCCGCAGGGTGATTTATGGTCAATAAAAAAACTTTGTCCCTATCATGGCGATGAAGAGATCGGGGTTGATGGGAGGGAGAGGAGAGGGAGGGGAGGGAGAGGAAGGGGAAGAGACAGATACACGGTGGGAAGGATCTACATGAGGAGTTCTAGGGGATCAGAGAAGCGAACGACACGAAACAGGAAGACTTTTTGGGTGCAGGTAGGTAGAAAAGGTACGAGGGAGGATGAAAAAGAGTAGAGTAGCATTGAGAATAGAAACAGGATTGCCGAGGTTAAGTTCAAAAGAAAGAAAATTCCCTCTTATACTGCAAGGATATGGTGGCGGCGGGAGAGCGGGGGTCAGAGACGGAGCAACGATACCATGACGGAGGAAACAGCGTCGGCTGACTTTTCTTGCTGTTTGTTCAGGTTCGTTTTGGAAACGCTATCACACACAAGAAGCTCTCGGTGCTGCAATGACGAGGCAAAGTCACGGGATTCGGCCGTTTGCGGGCATATTACATGACCTTCGTTCTCGTGCGCCTTTCTACCTCTCGGATTGGGTAGACGGGCTCAAGGAAAACATAACGATCCTCGCTCCTTCCACGTACATCTTCTTTGCCAGCATCATCCCCGCCCTCACCTTCGGTGAGCAATTGGACGATTATACAGAGGGGGCCCTCAACGGCGTTCATGTGATCCTGGCAACGGCTGTCTGCGGGGCGATCCAGTCGATCCTGGGCGGCCAGCCGTTGCTCATCGTGGGAGTGGCGGAGCCGATTGTACTCGTCTATGGCTACATGTACAAGATCGCAAAGACTGCAAATATCCCCTTCGTACCATGGGCATCAGCGACTCTGTTCTGGGTCGCGATCATGCTGGCAGGGTTGGCCGCGATCAACTCTTGCTCCTACATCAACCATTTTTCACGCTTCTCGGGAGAACTGTTCGGTCTACTCATTGCCACTCTGTTCTTCCAAGAAGCGATCAAAGGGCTCTACTCCGAATTTCACCCGCTGGGTTCCGTTGTCCACAGCAGCAGCAGCATGCAGACAGAGTCGCGGATCTGGTTAATGTTCAATGGCTCCTTCTCCATCGTCCTCGCTGGAGGCCTGCTCTTCACTTCGCTTGCCAGCATCTCGATGCGGCATACTGTCTACTTCCGACGAGTGCTCCGGCATTTTATCTCGGACTATGGCACCGCTCTGGCCGTGCTGCTCTGGACTCTCGTCTCCTACATCCCTAAGGGAGTCCCGGACGGGATCCCCCGACGCCTCCTGATCCCCAACGCGCTCGACGGATCTCCCAACTACACTGTGCTGAGTCGCATGCAAGAGCTGGAAGGATGGTAAACCCTCTGACTGTCTAGCAGCGTTGACGTTGTACTCACATGGAGCTCAGGCACTGGGCGGCGGCTCTGATCCCGGCGGTCATCATCGCGGTCCTCTTCTTCTTCGATCACAACGTCAGCAGCCAGCTGGCTCAGAATGTCATGGACCTCAAGAAGCCTCCTGCGTACCACTGGGACTTCTTGCTACTGGCCATCATGACTCTGATCTGCGGTCTCCTCGGCATCCCCCCGGTCAACGGGGTCATCCCCCAAGCCCCCATGCACGCGCGGGCCAACCGGAAGTGGTTCAAGGAGAAGCACGTGGAGAAAGGGACGGCGGGGCAACCGGGCGAGGAGAAGATTCACTTGAGGGCGGAGATAGTGGAGAACAGGGTGTCAAACCTGATCCAGTCTATCCTCTGCGGGATCTGCCTCCCACTGACCTTCATTATCCAAAAGATACCCCGCTCTGTCCTCTGGGGGTTCTTTGCCTTCATGGCCATCGAGGGGCTGCCGGGCAACCAGTTTTTCGAGAGGCTCCTCCTCTTCCTGACTGACAGGAAGCAAGTCTTCCGCCTGCGCTCGGGGCATCACCCTTCCTTCCTGGACAAGGTGCCGATGAAGACGATCCAGAAGTTCACCTTGATGCAGCTGGTGTTCCTCCTCATCTGCTACGGGATCACGTGGGCTGGCATCGCCGGCATCTCGTTCCCTCTCTTCATCATGATCATCGTCCCTGCCCGCCAGAAGCTGTTCCCGAAGTTCTTCCGCGACGAGGACCTGCAGCATCTGGACCCTCTGGACCTTGACGCGAAGGTGGCAGACATCGAGACTACTGCGCAGGAGGAGAAGGAGCTTGAGGTGGCGGAGAAGAAGGAAGGCAAGAGCTACGAGCTGCTCCAGGGCCAGTCCCACCACAACCTTCCCGATGACAAGCCATTGGGGGGGCTCAACGGGCGCGACCTTCCAGGTTTCCCTCCTTCCTCATCATCATTGTCGCAACTTTCTCAGACTCTTGTTTGCAGACCTGGAGGACCGGTCTTACAGCCCCTCAGTCGAAGATGCTCCCGTCGACATGGACGCTATCAGTGTCCGCAGTGGGTTATCGCTGGACGATCCTCCTGCTGAAGCCAAGGTCTGCTGGACGTGTTGCTGCCCTCAGCTGATGCTTCCCACCAGGGTATACGGAGGGACGAGGCGGCTGGCCATGACGCTGCTTGAAAGAACCTCGCTCTTGCCCTTTCACCTTCACTTGTCCTTGTCATTGTTTCCTCTCTCCTCCTCCTCCACCACCACCACCTCCTCTTCCTGCTTATTCATTGGTGCGCATCCCTCGCTCGCCCGCTCGGAACCCCCTATGCACACAACATCCATAGTAGATGGTGATAACATGGATTTGTATTCTAATAATGTTTCCAAGTTTCAGGATGCAAGTTTGTGATATAAATCTCCGATGCATCTTCAAGTCATGAGAGTATCATCCCACAACTCGTACTGAAGGGAGGAGCTGAAGACGGTCCATCCTACAATTCTTCTATCCCATAAACCACAGTCCTGTCAAACGCCAACAAACAAGTCCAACTAACTGATGCCGATAGGTTCCCCCTCGTTACAACCCACCCGTCCCTATGATCTGATCTCATACCTCTGCAAGAGCACAACCGCAAGTTCATTGCTCATCAACGTCTGCTCGCTGTTGAGGAAGACCTGTATGAAACTGCAAACCGATCGATCAGATCAAACGAACGCAGACGCAATCATGTATGTCAACTTACCATGTAGTCCAGCGCTGGCAGAGCCTTCGCCGCCTCCTCATCCAGTTTTCCAATGGCTCTCTGTGCGTTTCTCACGCTCCTAGCTCTCTTTGATGCTACCAACAACTTGTAGTAGTGATCCATGTACGGATCGTACGTAGGGTTGTTATACCTCCTGACGATACCCGACAACAAGTCCTCCTCCGACTCCCTCTCGGAGGGCCGCCTGTCATGCCTGTACCCGAAGCCGCTTCCTTCCTTCACAGGTGCCACTCCACGACGATACGGCCACCATTCTCCATCTGCATACTCGGCGCTGTGATCATTGCTGAAGTCCATTCTCTGCGTGCGCCGGCCCATGACCCATCGCGCTGGGTTCACGATGGTACGAACTCCTGCCCCTTTCCCACTCCATACGTAGGAGGAGGTAGGGTCGAAGAAGGATCCTTCAGGGACTGCTCTGCCATCCTTCACATCCTTTCTCCTCCATTCACTCACCACCTCGGGAGGTATCGTACCATGCACACCCCACGTCTCCTCCCCAACAACTCCTTCCGCGTGATCTCCGCTGGCAGCTTCATCCTCATGGTCGTTGCTGGAGCCCTCTACTCTCACCACCAGCATCGCCAGCATCGCCAGCATCATAACCCGCAATGCTGCTGCCTTCGCCATTTTTTCCAAGAGCCGCCGGACTCCGGTTATCCAACTTCCCGGTACACTGTGAAACCCTCTTCCCCACTAAGATCCACTGACCCACCGCATGTTGGACCACTACCCCCCTTCTTCCCACTCAACTTCGTAAGTCAGGGGGTTACCAGATCCCTAGGTCCAAGAGTACCCCACCCTCTCGATTCACCCCTCTGATGGCTGTAACCCCTTGTTTTCTAGTGTAGAGTACCCCTACTTTGATGGATATCTGACTACCAGCTACAGGTAAGTACCGTGCACACTCTAGGACCCCACCCCTCATCCTTAACCCCCATTTTCCTTTTCCTGAAGGGGTACTCCCACGGCTTGTATGATCATGCGGGACAAAGAGGTACCCTACCGAAGCAGTGAAAAACAGGGGGTAGGGGTACATCTGGTACTCCTGAGGGGTTTATAGGTTGGACTTGGGGGAAAGAGGGGGTGTGTGGGGTAGGGAGGGATGTAGTTGAAGGGGTAGGGTAGTAGAATATGATATTGAAATGGGGGTACTTGAAGGATTTAGCAGGGGTCCGTAGTCACGGATCTTGTTGTGGTGGTGTACACCTATTCACGAGAATTGGTGGGTGGGGTGGTTGAGTAGGACTAGAGGGGTAGGGTCTTGGAAGGATCTCTGTGGAGATCGGGGGACACTTAAAGAGAGAGCGGGCAATGCGCGCAGAAGAAGAAGGGGAGGAGGGAAAGAGAGAGGAGGAGGAGAAGGTAGAAGACAGGGGATGTGACATAGGGTCAAGTACAGGATAGGAGAGAATGTTGGTCAAGCACAAGCTGAGGGAAGCAGAGGAGAGGATTGTGTTGAGATTGTTGAGATGATTTTCAAGGACAGGGAATGGTGGTGGGATCAGGGAAGGGGCGGATGATGCAGTGCCGAAGATCGAAAGCGTCTACCGATCTTCTTATCTCTTGTAGTGCTGAGCATGGTTTAGTGGGTGCGAAGCACCAGAGCATTGTGATGTAGCCCTTGAGGCACTTAGCATGCCAACACCGTTAGCGCAAACATCGCGATGCGATACATGCCGACATGCTGGCTTCCGTTATGCTGTTGTAAGCAGGAAGCGCTCCCCTCATCCTCAATGTTCTGTATTCTTCAAATCTCATCTTGTTGAGCAAGCGCTTGTCCTCTGATCTCCGGTCGTACTGACCCTGCCCCCCTGCCAGCAGACCGTCGGATCTTGTGGCCGAAGATGCAAGGAGCAGACGGCAGCAGGGTGGCGATCATCGGGTCAGGGATCTCAGGGCTGGCGGCAGCATGGTTGATGCAGAAGTCAGGGTGGAAGGTGACCTTGTATGAGGCGGAGGACTACTTCGGAGGGCACACGCTCACAGACGAGACGATCCCGGGAGTTCCTGTGGACCTTGGCTTCCAGGTGTTCAACAGGACGACGTACGGGCACTTCGAGCAGTTCCTGGAGGCTCTGGGAGTAGACAGTGAGGAGAGCGACATGAGCTTCGCCCTGTCTGTGGACGACGGGAAGGTCGAGTGGGGTAGCCACAACCTGTCTACCATCTTCGCGCAGCGTCGCAACTTAGTCAGCCCCAAGTTCCTGCTCATGATCCGAGACGTGCTGCGGTTCGGGAAGGAGGCGCCCAAGGTGCTGGTGGAGGAGCAGTACGCGGACATGACGCTGGGAGAGTACCTGAAGAAGGAGGGGTACAGTGAAGGGTTCACCTACTGGTACCTCCTCCCGATGTGTGCAGCGGTATGGAGCGTGAGCAACAAGCAGTGCATGGAGTTCTCGATCCGAGTGATGATCCGCTTCTGGGTGAACCATCACCTCCTCGAGCTCATCGAGAGGCCCAAGTGGAGGGTCGTCAAGGACAGGAGCAGGAGCTACGTCAGGAAGGTCGTGGAGATCCTTCAGGACGCTCGCAGCAGCTGTGCCGTCCGGTCGGTCGTGCGCAAGGGGGACAAGGTGGAGGTGCGTGACGAGCAGGGGAAGTGTGAGGAGTTCGACCACGTGATCTTCGCCACCCACTCGGACGTGACGATGAAGATCTTGGGAGGAGACATCAGCAAGGAGGAGGAAGCGATTCTCAAGGGCATCCCCTATGCTGAGAACGACGTCTACCTCCACCGAGACCCCAGCCTGATGCCGAGGGAGAGGAAAGTGTGGGCCTCCTGGAACTGCCTGGATATGACGGAGCTCAACAAGGATGCTCCTTCCGACCGCGCCGTGTGCGTGAGCTACTGGGTCAACTCGCTACAGCGTCTGCCTGAGGGGACCGGCGATCTGTTTGTGACTCTGAACCCTCCTCATGTAAGTTCTCTACTACCTCCCCTCCTCTTTCTTCGTCTCTTCTTCTCTTCTCTTTCCTGCCTCAACCTCCAAACCGCCCCAAGCCACCTCCCCCCCCCCCCCCCCCTTTCCTTCTCCCGTCTCGCACATTTCTTGCTCCTGCTCCTGCTCCTGCTCCTGCTCCTGCTCCTGCTCCTGCTCCTGCTTCTTTCCCCCTCTTCTTTTCGCTGCTTCCCTCACGATGTTGTACAGGCCCCAGCAGAGGAAAAGACCGTGAAGCATCTCAAGCTCTCGCACCCCGTCTTCTCCGGCGCCTCCAAGAAGTCGCAGGAGACGCTCGACAAGATCCAGGGCGTGAAGAGGACATGGTTCTGCGGAGCCTGGTGCGGGTACGGCTTCCACGAGGATGGCATGAAGTCTGCGGTCAACGTGGTGGAGAAGATGGGCGGAATGATCCCTTGGGTCCCTCGACCCACATCTCCCTACATGCCCCTCCTCACCCGCTTCGTCTGCTCCTCCGTCCACAGGTTCGCGGGCAGGGCGATCAAGCGCGGTTCCCTTAGGCTGATCATGCCCAACGGGACGGAGGTGGTGTACGGGAACCCCGAGCAGAAGTACGTGGAGGAGGAGGGAGGGGACGAGAAGAAGGGGAGGAGGGAGGTGTACCACTCGCGCGTGAGGGTCTTCGACTGCAAGTTCTTTCACCGGATCGCTAAGGATACAGACATCGGGCTGGGCGAGAGCTACATGAACGGAGAGTTCGAGCCCGACGACCTGACCAACTTCCTAAACGTCCTCACGCAGAACGTCGAAGAGTTCAACTCGCTGCAGAAGAGCCTCGGGGTCCTCAACTGGATCGGCACTCAGGTGCAGACGATGGCGCATATGGCCAGGGCCAACACGGTGGAGGGTTCGCTCAAGAACATCAACGAGCACTATGACCTTGGCAACGACATGTACAGGTGAGGAGGAGGAGGAGGAAGGAGAGTAGGAGGAGGAAGAGGAGGAAGTAGTGAAGGTCGTGGAGAAGGTGAGCGGGGAAGGTAGAGAACGTAGAGGAGGACAGGGCAAGGAATGCTGTAACTGCAAGGAGGCTGACGGAGGGATTTGACAGGCTCTTCCTCGACGAGACCTGGATGTACTCCTCCGGCGTCTTCAACAGCCCACAGGACACCCTCTACCAGTCCCAGCTCAACAAGCTGGACCTGATCCTCGACAAGCTGGAACTCAACTCGGGCCATCACATCTTCGAGATCGGCTGCGGCTGGGGAGGTTTCGCAATCAGGGCGGTGGAGCGCTTCGGGTGCAGGGTAACGGGGATCACGATCAGTGAGGAACAGTTCAGCTACGCCACGGCCAAGGTGGAGGAGCGGGGCATGAGCGACAGGATCACCATCCTCTTCTGCGACTACCGCAAGCTGCCGGCCGAGCTGCTGGGGAAGTTTGACAGGCTGGTATCGATCGAGATGATCGAGGCGGTGGGGCACGAGAACCTCGGGGAGTACTTCGGAGTGATCGAGCAGCTGCTGGTGCCGGGAGGCAAGGCCGTCATCCAGGCCATCACATACAAGGACGAGCACTACATGGAGTACTGCCGCTGCTCTGACTTCATCCGCCGCCATATCTTCCCTGGGGGCCACCTGCCGTCCATGGGGGCGATGCTGGGGGCGACGAGGAACTCTTCGCTCTTCTGCCAGCATGTGGAAGACATCGGCCTGCACTATGCGCGGACCCTCAAGATGTGGCACGAGAACTGGACGGGGGCGGAGGACAAGATCAAGAAGCTGGGGTACTCGGACGAGTTCTACAGGAAGTGGAGGTTCTACTTCAGCTACTGCGAAGCTGGTTTCCAGCTGCAGTTCATTCACAACTACCAGATCGTGTGGTGCAAGTCGCCTGTCTCGCTGGCCAGGACCAGCCGCGCCGCCGCCTCCTCCTCCTCCCCCTTCTCGTTCTCTGCCCTGGACACCAACACGATGAGCATGGTGTGGTGCTTCGTGGCAGGGTTCGCAGGGGGCAAGTACATCAACACCCTTTGGTTGGTTCCTATCATGTCCGTCTTGTTTCTCCTCCTCTCTCTTTCCTGTGGCTTCTTCTCCTCCATGGCGGCTGGGCGGATCTACACGGACCTCGACGATGCGAAGCAGCGGCAGTGGGCGAGGAGCGTGGTGTCTGGGGTGTACAGCCTCTTGACTGTCCTCCTCCTCCTCGTCGGGTTCTTTGTCTCGAGCTTCAGCAACCCCTTCAGGAGCGACGCAGGGCAGGTCTGCAACCTCCTCCTCAGCATGACCTGCGGCTTCAGCATCTGGTCCCTCTTTGACGGCATCAAGAACCGGGCCAACGTCCGCTCCTCTGCCAGGTCGGGCGTTGCTGGCAGCACCATCGCCCTGTGCTGCGGCGTCATCTGCCTAGCCAAGCAGCTGCTGGTCCCCTACATCTGCCTCACCCTCCTCTCTGAAGTCCACTCCCTCCTCATGCACGCCCTCGACATCGCGCAGCTCGCCCTCCTCTCCTCTCCCTTGCTCGAGAAGCTCCACTGGGGATCGCTCGGTCTGTTCAGGATCGCAGGGCACGCGCTGCTCACAGTCAAGGTGTACTCGGATCGCGGGAGCTTCCCCAACAGCCTCCTCTTCCTCGTCGCTCTCAGCGGCATGCTGGTACTCAACGGGCTCAACCTTCGACTCCTTGTCGACCTTGTGCTTCATCCCATCGGCCATCGTCTTGCTAGAAGGTCAGTCGCTTCCCTCCTCCTCTGCCTCCCTGTACCTCTCGCAACCTCCCTCCTCCCTAGCCCTGCTTCTCTACACGCAGCACGTTTCTCTGTTACTCTTCTGACTCCTGATCTCCTCTCCAGCGCTCCTCCTGAAACTGCTCGAAAAGTCAAGAACGAGTAGGCGGTCAAGTATAGAGGGTCTCAGTTTTCCTGTTGTTTCATTGGGTACAAGTACAGTAAAGCTTTCAAAGCACATCGACAGTTCCTCTCTGTGTCCTACTTTCTTGCTCATCTTGCTGTGTAGAATCCGCTGGACGAGCTTCGCGGGACGCTCACCGGCGGGTTGCTCACTAGCGGGTTGCTCACTAGCGGTTTGCTCCGCGTGTTGACGAGGCTCGTTCGAGGGCTGTTCCGGCTCTGCTGGGAGGAGATGTAGGAGACGATGGTGCTCGAGGTGGAGGAGGAGCCGAGAGAGCCGCTGGAGGATCCGGAGGACATCTTGGAGCTGGGCGAGAAGGTTTCTTGCATGTTGCGGAGGGGAGGAAGAAGTTGAGCGAAGGAGGGCCTGGCGTCAGCGTCCTTGTCCCAACACTTCATAACGATTTCCGACATTTCAATGGGCATGTCCTGTGGCAGCCATCAGCCATCGCAGGAGGGCGGAAGGAAGAGAGGAGGAGGAGGAGGAGGAGGAGGAGGAGGAGGAGAAGGAGGAGGAGACGATGGGGAGAAGAGGTCAGGGAGGAGAGTAGCGGACCGAGGGGATCGGAGGCCTGTCGTTATAGAGGGCAACTCGGGTCGCCATCTGCTCTAGGGTGCACTCGTTCCAAGGCAGCAGCGCCGTGTACATCTCCCACAGAGTGATGGCGAACCCGTACAAGTCCACCTTGAGGTTGATAGGGAGGCGCTTCAGCACCTGCGATCCCCGTCAGCTCGACTCCAGCTGGCAGGGGAGCGAAAGCACCTCAGGAGCCTGGTATGCGGGGGTCCCTCCAGTTCCCAGCTGGATGGAGTCGAGATGACTGCAACCGCTGGGGAGAGAACGGGCCAGCCCGAAGTCGCAGAGCTTTGCTCCACCGGTCTTGTCGTTGTAGATGACGTTCTGCATGCAATGTTAGAGATCGTGGGAAGGAGGAGGAAGAGGATTTAATGAGGATGAGGGTGAGGAGAAGGATGGGGAGGAGGATGAGGAGAAGGATGGGGAGGAGGAGGAGGTGGTGGTGGTGGTGTGAGAAGCAAGGAGAAAGGAGGGAGGAGGAGGTGGAGGAGGTGAGGGAGGAGGTAGATGCAGGGAAGAAAGACGCAGGGTAGAAAGGAGGAGGAGAGGAGGGAGAGGAGCGGCCTTACCTGAGGCTTCAGGTCGCGATGGATGATCCCGAGCTCGTGCACAAACGCCATCGCATCGCACACTTGCAGCGCCACGTCCACCTGCCTGCCAAACAGAAGCGTCTTGTTGTACTTGTGGAGGTAGTCGAAGAGGTTGCTGCCCGGCAAGTACTCCATGACGTAGGCGCTGACCGACTGGTCGCAGAGGATGCCGAGGGTCTTGGTGATACAAGGATGGTTTACCATCCGCATCATCTCCCCTTCCCGGATAAACTCCAGCACCTCCTGGTGGCTCCCCAGGCTCTTGGGCTTCTTCACCGCACACTGGATTCTCAGCTCCCCCTTGAACACGTCAGCAAAGGTCCCGCTCCCGATCTTCTCGTTCTTGATGTCTACGTCTTGTTTCCTCAGCCGTGTGGTCGTCAGGTCCAGCGTCAGGCAGCCGTTGGCGTCCAACATGGGGGGGAGGTTGGAGAAGTAGCTCTTGCGACCGCTCACGCGGGAGGAGAGCATCTCAGTCACCCACGACCCAAACATTCTCTCCACCAACCTCCTCGAGTACATGCCGAACGACCGCGAGGGCATCAAGGAGCCGCTGCGGGACTTGGGAGCCCCAGCAGGGAAGTCTTCGATCTGCTGCTTCAGCTCGTCGACCTCAGCCCTCAGCATCGAGTTTTCTTGCAGGATCTTGTCCATCTCGTTTGTCAGCGTGTCGTTCTCCAGCATCAGCGAGTTCACTTTCTTCTGGATGAGATCCATCCCTTCCGACGACTTGAGAGACTCTCGTTTTGAGCTCTCCATTCTATTCCGCTGCTCCTCACCCCCTTGCTCGCGCATGTTTGCTTCCCACGACAAGTTCTGAGCATCAGCGCTGTACTGCTTCAGCAGCTTCGATGCATCCAAGAGGTCGGTGGTCAGCCTTTCGTTTGTGGTGTTAGCAACAGCCAACTTCTCCTTTAGGTAGAGGATTTCCTGCTCGCCCATCTCTACTCTTGCCCTCATCTCAATGTTCTCAGCCTCTTGGTTAGCAAAGGTCTTCTGCGGCAGGCTTCCCTTCCACAGGAGCTCGTTGGTGAGAGACTCCTTCTGCTTCTCCAGGATCTGCAGCTCGCTCGCTTGCGTTTCAACCTGCTTCTCCAGCCGCATGTTCTCCTTCTCGAGATCCGAGATGGTCTTCTGAAGATCCTCCGCATCGTTTCTCAGAGATTTCATGTCCTCTGCCTTGGACTCGAGCCTGCCACGACAAGGATCAACGACACACCGCCACGTAATCATGTCAGACTTACGTTCTCGAGAGATTCTTGATCTCATTCTCAAGCCTCTCAATCTGGCGAGAATGTTCGGAATCTCTCGATTCTCTGCTCAATGCGAATCCCTGGACAACTTTTCTCTGGTCTTCCAATTCCTTACGGATGGCGACGAGTTGCTCTTCTTTGAACTGCAATCGTTCTTCCATCTGTGCTTGGGAGTCTTTTAGCCTATTTGCAACGATAGTCTCCAGCCATGTCTCATAATACTTGTCCTTCTCGGTCAATTTGCCCTGCATCTCACTTTCCTTTGCCTGAAACAAACACATCATCATCGTGAGTTTGTGACGAGAAAACAAAATGACAATTGCAATCACCTGCAAATCGGTCTCAAAGTCGCGCTGTGCATTCGACAACTCCTGTCGGGCGCTCTCAACCTTGGTTGTCAATTCTTTCTCTCTGGCCTGGAATCTTTGTCGCAGATCATTCTCCAGTTCAACACTCTGCATTCTGAGTTTCTCCACTTCATTCTCCCATTCCTTCTCCTTGGCACGCAGCTTCTCGTAGTGCTGTTCCTCTATCTCTAACTTTTGACGTTCCACTGTTTCTAATTGCAACGAGTATTCTCGATCCTTATCCAGCAGTTTCTTTTTCCATTCTCTTTGAGCTTTAGCAAGATCATCTTTGAGATCCTGGACTTGCTTCTCCTTCAGAGTGGATTCCTGCATCAACTCTTGACGAACTCTCGTCTCCAGCTCAGCACTGCTCTTCAGGGCAGCTTGCAGCTCTTCTTGATACTGTTGTTGCTTCGATTCGATGACAAGAGTGAGTCTCTTCACCTCTTCGAGACGAGTCAGCTCCAAGGACTTCAGTTTTCCTTCGTAGCTATCTCGCAATCTCTCTCTTTCTTGCAGGGCCTTCTTTTCAACGTTTTCCACCCATTGTTTCGATTCTTTCAACGACGAGTCGATCGCAACTAACTCTTCGCAAATACATCCCAATTCCTTGCCCAGAGCCTCGGCATTCTTTCTAATGCTCACGAAACTGCGATTGCGCTTATCTTTCTCAATAAAAAGTTCTTTCTTCAGCTCAGCTGTCATCTGAAAGTCACCTATTTGCTTGATTGAAGCCTGAGTGACCAGCTGCCAGTCATGCAGAAATAATTTGAGGAATCTTTGTTTGGACCACAAGGAGAAAGCCCTTATGTTAAGGTTTTTGTCCTCAGCCAAACGTTTCCAACTCTCGAACATTTTCAACAATGTAAGATTCTGTGACACTCTCTGAACCTTTGCGCTGCATTTAGAGATGGTGACATCCTTCTTGACGTGCCTTTGGATCAGATTGTGATTTTCCCTCTCATAAATCATCATTTGCGATATCTGAATTTCAGCCCTTGCCAACTTATTTTGAGATTCTTTGTACAAGGCTTCAAGGGCTTTCAAATCGGAGATAAGTACTGAGTTGTCTTGAGCCGTCTGCATGGCCTCCATTGAAAATGAATCTCTACTCTTCTCAGCCTTGGTTTTCCAATCCACCAGCTCTCTGCGCATCGATTCCACTTCTTTTTGCATTGAGAGCTGCAACGAATCTCTTTGTTGCATCATTATGTACTTCTGCTTTTCAAATTGAGCCGCTTGTTCTTCCAGCTTTCGAAGAAGAGCAGCATTCTTTTCTTGCAGCTCGGAGTTCGCTTTTGAGAGATTGATGTTTGAATACTCAATTTCCTGCTCGAATCAGATTAGACCACAGCTTCATGTTGCGCAGAACGAACCTTGAGTCTGAACTGGTCGTTCTCGTAGTTCTGACTCTACAAGATACATTTCAAGTCACACGACAACAAAACTCGAGAATCACACTCTTGTTACCTTAGTCTGCTCCAGTGCACGGTTGACCTCCTGTATGGAAATGTAGCGTTTCGAAAGATCTTCAAACTGCAACGGACATCACACCAAAGACGACAAGTAGAATTCAATACCCTTTTGCGATAGGACTCCAACTCGTCCTTGACCATGCGAACCTTCTCCTGGAGGAATCATTTAGGACACGCATCTCGATAGCTTCAAATCACTCACCTCCATATCTCGCGACGCTCCACTACCAGACGTTCTCAATGACCTTGCGACCTCTTCTTTCAAACCAAAGTTTTCATTTTTCAGCTCATTGATCTACTGAAAATGATCAATCATTGAAACAGAGCCCTTCAAATTCGACCGTCTGGTACAAGGAGGTGTTCTGATCACGGAGGCTCCGCAGGTTGCTGTCCATCAAGGCTTGCTTTGACTCAAGCTGCGCACGAGACGGTCGTCATGGACATTCAGAGTTCTGTTCACAACACACCTGTAAAACAACTTTCTGCAGCCACTCGGCCTTCCTCGTATCATTCTGGCTCAAGCTGACATCTACTTTGCTGGTTGATATCTGTCTTCCCAGTTCCTTGGTTGCTGCAGACAGAAGGCTCTGAAGCCTGGTCACCTGAACACATCATGGGCACATGTAAGATAAAAGCGCGCCGAGTTCGACTGAACAACCTCATCTTGCAGCATCTCCGGATTCACGACAATGAGAGGAGGAGCAGAGCTCCTCATCATCTGCAGGTCGTGATTTTCATTGGTGTAGACATAATGCTCTGAATGACTAGCTCGGTTCATCGACATCTACCAAGACACAGTCACATCATCTCTCGCTTTTGATTGTTGCTATCGCCAACCTCGTTCCGGTTCAATCCCCCATGAATCGGACCATAATATGAATTTGAATTATGATAATTTGGATTGTACTCGCCCGGCTTCATCTACCAAACAAATTACGTAGTCAATTCGTGATGCAATCAATCATGGCATTCGAGATATATCCACAACAATGTAGCGAAGTTTGACACCATGAGGCCAAGGTATGCATGCTACACTATGAATATAATTGGTAGGAGATTGTCAGAAGCTGTCCTGCGCGCTCAACAGTGTTGTCATCATAAGGATCATGCATTCAGAACGAAGGGAGATCGGATGGCGAGCAGGAGAAGCAGGCAGCAGGCAAGAGAGGGAGCAGGAAGGAGTGGGAGCAGGATCAGCACGAACAAGGGCGGCAAGTTCCATTGGCGCGAGGACTTGAAGGGAGGCCTACTAGCATGAGGTCCAGGCTTTAGTCGGAAAGGGGGGTGGTAAGCCGGGATCACTTGGGGTCCTTCACCACCCGTGCAAAGATCGTTTAAGAGTAGGGTAGTATATGGGAAACCTTCATGAAGGTACCGAGGGTAGAGGGGGTTATAGACCCGTTCCACCTCACCCCACCCCACCCCTGAAGGTGTACTATGACCTACCCTACCCCACTTTCAAATTTACTGTTGAGAGCCCCGATCCCCAATATAGACATCAAAGGACCAGGCATCCCTCATGAAGTTTTAGTTATTATTCCTGAATTATATACAGAAATTCAGTCAATTTGTCCGAATTCGAACTTTTCGGTACATAAGATGAATACCACCCCTGCCATGTATGAACTATGACACTGGCACCACCCACCCAGGTCGATGGGGTGGTCTCGAGGGACTTATAAGATTTTACTCATCATCGCTACATCAGTACAGGAACTACCGCTCAGACCGTACCGTGACCCAAGGTACTAGCACATAGGGGTGGGGTGGTAAAACCCAGGTCCGACCCCGCACTGCCGTTATGGATGTGGGGGTGGTAGGGCCACAGGGGTGGTCAGAGGCCTTCAGAAACGGGGGTGGGACCACCTAACCGTTTAGATCGGAATGTCCGGGACTCCGGCAGCCTTGCCTGTCAGGGTGGGGTACTGCCCCTCCGATACTACCGGTACAACAATCGTGTGACTGACATTGTTGGATCTGGACCCCTGGTCGAGATAATTTTGAATCGTAGTCAGCAAGGGGTACTAGATGGAGAGGTACCGGTATTGTTCCCAAGCCCCCCCCCGGCCATTGAAGGGGTAGTACTTCCATGAGAGTCCGGGGGTGGGGTGACTGGGGGGACTGTCCCCGCCGTAACACGGACCGGGGTCACGGTCCCGTACTCCGAAGCCCCAGCAGGGCCCGCCCCGGTACATGAGAGTCCCGGGTCCATCTGAATTTGGAAGGGGTTATTTTCCCACACAAATAAGGGGTGGTAGTCATTCATTTGAGGGGTCATGGGATGCCAGTACCGTTCGCACCGGTCACCCGGCGGATGAGGATTTGCCGAACGGTGGGATAAAGACCGGGTCACTCGACCCGTGGTTGGTCAGATATGTGTGGGGGTGGGTGGTACACACCGCTAGTTCCAACCGTGAAGCACCCCTCGTACTGATCATCGGATTTTTAACTTAACTTTGAGTAAACTTCAAACGTGAAGTACCGTGTCTTTTAGCAGCAGCCTAGGGTCGGCCCGGGCCCGGGTGGGCCGGTTTTTACTAAGTTAACTTAACCGTTTGAATGTTTGCCGGCCGGGGACGGCCGCTACCGGGTGCCGCAGTGACTCGCCGCTCGGAGCCCCGGCGGGCCGGTGGCCGCTGCTCTCACGGTGACGGTCCGAGGCTCGGATCTGTGACTGCCCAGCGGGGGGGCCTCCGAGCGGCTCCGACTGAAAACCCGGCGGCATACTACTAATAAAACTGTGAAAAAAACCTTCAAGTCTCACACTGTGCCCCGGATGGCCGTCAAGGCAATTCACTAGTCAGAGGCGGCGGCGAGTCAACGGTGGCTCAGAATTCAGTGACTCCGAGGCTCATTGAGTCACCCTCAGCCTGAAGTTCGCGTGACTCCGTAACCGTTTCAGTAGTACAGTAAGTTATGGCCGCACTGCCGCATGATTGAAATGCGGCGGCAACGCTGACGGCCGCCCTTTCCGAGCCCAGCCGTGACGATCAAACAGGCTCTCAGAGCTCTAGCTCTACGTCTTGACGGTCTCGGAGAGATGGCGGCAGCGGAGCAAGCGGGTTCCCTGAATCATTCAGTCAGCTTTCACCTCAAGTTCATCAGGCCTCCAACCTTGCAAAACGAGCTTCCGTAGCGATGAGAGCCCTGCGACGCTGCTAGGAAGCATCGTGAGCCGGTTGTTCCGTAGCGACAAGATGCGCAGCGACTGGAGCTCGGAAATCCTCGGATGCAAGAACCTGGTGAGCCACAAGTCAGCGTTGGGTGATTTGACAAGGGCCCGACTGGCCTCATCGGATTCTCGTCCATGTTCAAACTTTCCAGACATGGCAGGTCGCAGATACATGCCGGCATGGCGGTGAAGCTATTGCACGGGAGAGACAAACTTTGAAGCACTCGCATCTTGCCGAGGTTGTTCGGGAGGCTAGAGAGCTGGAATGCGTCTGCGTCAGAGAGGAGGGGAGGGAACGAGAGGCAGGGAGTGAGGGAAAGGAAGAAGGAGGTGAGGAGCAGAAGGGGGAGATAGGGGAAGGGGAAGGAAAAGGAAGAGGGAGAGGGAGAGGGAGAGGGAAACGTGGGAGTTCTCGACGTGATACCTTATTGTTGTCCAACCATAGCACGGTCAGGTTGCTCAGACTCGACATGCCCTGGCAACATCGTCATCTAACGCACCAACGACTTGCTTACAAACACCTGCGGTATTTCGTCGAGAAGATTGTTAGAAAGCTGCATGGCTCTTAGCTTTACTGCCAGCCTGTCAAAGGGAAGTTCCAAGCTGGACAAGCTGCTGGAAGCGAGATCGATGCTGCCGGTCGATATGCCCTGCATGATGGATCTGAGGTAGGAGAGCGTCGCTTGAATTCCTCTCGAGTAAACTTCGACAGGAGGACACTTGAGCTTCGCGTTGTTCTCCAGCTGGAGCCTTCGCAGGGTCGTTATCAGCCCAACCTCAGGCGCGATCGACAAGAGCTTGTTGTCCATGACTGACAGATCTCTCAGCCTTGTGAGCTTGCAGACAGATGCCGGGATTTCTCGCAGCCGGTTATCGTTGAGGCTCCACTCGGTCAAGGAGTGCAGGCCGGAGATGGCGTCGGGGATGAGGAAGAGCAGGTTCCCCGTCATGTTGAGCGCAGTCAGCTGGGGAAGACAGATGATAGAGTTGGGAACGAACGCGAGTTGCATCACGGACACATCAAGAGAGCCAGTCATCCGGGCTTGTCTCAGTCTGTGAGAGTAGTTGAGGCATTGCTCCTGTCCTTGGCAAGAGATTTCAAGAGGTACCAGCTCGCTCCTTGACTGCGTCGCTCCATCGGGCAGGACGACCATACGCTCAGTGTCAAGGTTGAGCGTCGAGATTGAACTCCAGCGGTCGATGAGGTGGAAGGGGAATGTGTCGAGGGGGTTGAACTGCACGTCGAGAGCGGAGAGATGGACAAGCTTCTCAAAGGAGGAGGGAAGGACCCTGAGATTGTTGCTGCCCAGGTAGACCTCACGTAGCCCTGTCATGAGCCCGACGGCCTCCGGAAGTTCCTTGACTCGGTTGTTGCTCACGTCCAGGACGGTGAGGCAGCTGAGAGAGCTGATGTCGTACGGGATCTCCTCGATGTCGTTGTAGCTGAGAATCAAGCTGGTGATGTACTCGCCGGCTTGCAGCACCTCGACGGGGAAGTGAAACAGGCCTCTCCTGCTTAGGTTGATGCTCCCGTAGATGAAACCGTCTTGGATCGTGCGGAGATAGATCATGAGCTTCTGGATATCCTCGTTGAGGTACATCTCAACTACTTTGCTCAGGCTTGTGTTGAATCGAAAGTCCAACATCACCAGGCCGACCATGTTTGCAATCTCACAGGTGATTGTGGCGAGTCTGTTCGACGACATGGTCAAGACTTGGAGGCTCTTGAGGACACAGATGTTTGGAACCACTTGGCGGAACCTGTTTCCGTCCAGATGAAGGGTATGCAGCTGACGACAGAACGTCAGCTCTATCGGGATTTCTTCCAGTCTGTTGTCCTTTAGGTTCAGCGAGCCCAGTGCAGTAAGCAACTTGATATGCTGAGAGAGAAATTCCAGTTGATTTGAAGAGATGTCAAGGCTGTGGATGTGCCCAAACTGATGACAGCAAGTCACATCAAGAATCAGTCAGGAAAGTGTTCTCCGATACCTTGAAAGTTTGGATGGGAATGGAACCTGGCGAGAGTGAACTTAGGTTGGCAGTAGATGTCCGAAAAGACTTATAGATTGCGCGAAGATAGGTCAGGATAGCGGCGATGTCGTGATCAGGAGCACAGATAGGGGCCATCTGTAAGATTTAGTCACTCTGAGAACATTCGAATTAGGTTGCCCAGACCTCGTTCAAAGGGTTTCCCAAGAGGTCCAATGTCATCAACCTTGTTCACCATGAGGATTGGAGACCAACAAACGTTCGACTCACCTCTTGGCTCGACACAGCTCTGGCGGGAGGCTTTTCAACTCATTCTTCCTCATGTGGAGCACCTGACAGCAGTCACGACCCGCCACTGCCAAGGACAAGCAGGATCACCTTCAATCTCCTCAGGTTCCCAACACTCGATGAGACATGAGTGAGCTTGTTGTCATCAAGGTGCAGCTCTTTCAGCCCTCTGCACTGCATCAGTGCGTCCGGCCAATCTTGCATCAGGTTATGATTCGCTCCTAGGACCTTGAGGGAGGCCATGGAGTTCTGGCAGACTTCGAAGGAGCTGACCCTGTTGGAGTTCAGCTGGAAGTTCTCTAGATCGTTCAAGGAGAACTCCGACTTGATCTCGACAACCTCTATCATGTTCCCGTCCATGGACAGCTTCACAAGCGATGACAGGCTTTCAAGAGACCCAGGCAAGCTGGTAAACCGGTTGTTCTGCAGCTGGAGGTACTTGAGACTGGAGCAGAGCCCTCCCATGAGAGCAGGGAGACTATTCAGCAGGTTGTCACTCGCATCGATTCTGATCAGGTTCGGAAGGGACGAGAGCGAGTCGGGGAAACTCTTGATCTCATTGTTACAGAGGGAGATCTCCCGCAAACACAACATCCTCTGAATGTCAGGGGTGAGGCTGGTGACCTTGTTTCGTTCGAGGTTGATGGAAACAACTGTCTTGAAGGCAACTCCATCCTCCATCAAATCCCGGGTGTAATTGCTGAGATCAAAGATGTCGCTCAGCTCTTTGGGGTTCGAATCGTCGTCTGATGCCACCAGCTCATCCGAGGACTCCTCCCCTTCTTCGCCGTGCTCCTTCTCCTTCATCGGCTGTATCTGCCCAAGGAGCGTTTCCTGCATCTTCTTCACGTCCTCTGCACGTACAACTTCAGCATCTTCCTGCTCAAATGACCTGTCAACATCAGTGTCGACATACAACGCATCGTCGATGTCTGCTGCTTCTCCTTGATTAAGGGCTGCATCCTTCACATCCGCTTCGTTCATCTCCAGCTTCTCCATCCTCCCAACTTCATCATCGATCACGTACACATTGCCCACAGGAGCATCAGCAGCAGATGGGAACTCTCCTTCTGGTACATTCATAACAGCTCCTTCCTCTGCAGGACTCGCCTCCTCCTCCGCAGAGACAGAAGGCTGCTCCTGCCCTTGGCCCTCCTCTTCGATCAGAGGACTCCAGCCAGTAACCTCTAGAGGAATCTCTGTGAGGTCGAGGCTGCTCAAATCCAGCATGCCCGTCCTCCTGCCTTCCCAAGCGCGTTTGAGGTACGATACCACTGATTGAACGCTCTTGACAAGGATGTCACGGGGAGGAGAGACTACGGAGTTTCCGTCATACTCAAGGTACTCAAGCTTCTTCAGTGAGCCCAGGGTAACAGGGAGCACGGTGAGTGGATTGCCGGCGACATTCAGCGAGCGCAAGGAGCTCAACAGCAGGAAGGAATGCTTCGGAAGCTGCGAGATGTTGTTGTTGGACATGGAGAGGAGGACGAGGCTGGTGAGTTTGGAGATGTCACCAGGTACCTCGGAGATTGCGTTGTCGTTGAGAGTGATGGAAGTAAGAGATGCTGGCGAGCTGATAGCGTAGAAGGGAAATTGAGCCAGTCGAAACCCAGACAAGTCCAGCTGGTGATGAAGGACTGATCGATACGATCTTAGATTCGTGTATCTAGATGAAGACGGTCTTACCCGCAGCGTACGACCGCCGGAGATAGGAAACGATGGAGAGGTTTCCCATTCGAACGACTTCCTGAGGAGGAGATAGAAGGGTTGCGCTGCAAGGAGAAGTTAAAGGAAGACGCCAAGACAACGAGCGGGTCCACCTGTCCATGTCCACCACAACCTCGTCCAGCGTCGAGATCGCCCCAAGAGTTGCAGGCAGACGGACTAGAGGAGTCTGACATAGTGAGATCCGCCGCAGCCTCTGCATTTCTCCCAGCCAGGAGGGAAGCCGTTTGACCGGGTTGTTGTCCAGCTTGAGGGTGGTGAGGGAGGTCAGGAGGAGGCGGAGAGAGCTGGGAATCGAGCGGAGGTTGAGCGAGGAGTAGTCAAGGAAGCCTGTGCTCTCACAATCCGTCACCCCGCAGATGTACCGCACCACTGCAGCTCCTCCTGCCTCTACAACGTCCTTGGGGACGCTTCCAAGGTCTGTCATGGGCACAGTCAAGGATTTGAGATACACCAGCCTTCCCAGCTCGAGCGGGAGCTGGGACAGGTCGTTTCCAGCCAATCGCAACTCCTCTAGCCTCGTCAGAGAGAGCACGACGGAAGGGAGGGAGGTGAACAGGTTGCTCTCAAGGTCGAGGAGCTTGAGGGACCCAGCGATCCTGGTGAGGTTGGCGGGTAGGAAGGAGATCTGGTTGTGACCGACATGGAGGTCCTGCAGGAAGACTCGTCATTACGCAAGAGCATGAACGCACAACAGAGATCACATGCAGTGCAGTGACGCACTCTCCAATGACTTCAGAAAGGGATGTCAGAAGGTTGTTGCCCAGGTTGAGAATCCTGAGCGCAGTCAGCAGGGATACTTCCTCGGAGATGGAAGTGATCTGATTGTAGGGCATGTGCAGCTCTTCGAGCATCGGAAACTGCACGCAGAGAGGAGTGGGAATGGACGAGAAGCGGTTCCTGTCCAGGCACAGGATCTTCAAGTTGTACAGACATGTCAAGAACGGCGGGAGTTCGGAGATGCTGCTCTCCCTCATGCTGATCTCCTGCAGGCACTCGAGCTGGACTTTGGACCCTGTCAAAAGAAAATTCTCCAGGTTGACGCGCGGGGAGCCATCGAGACGGAGGTTGCGGAGGGAGCTGAGAGTACTTCCCTCTAGGTGAAGCTCGTCAATTCCTAGCTTGCCAATGTCGAGTATGGACGACTGCCTCTTTGCCATGTAGACCTCCCTGGTTTGCAAGTGAACAGAAGGAGAGGATGCAAGAAGAGAAAGAAGAGAAAAAGAGAGCAATGGGGACAAGACAATGTAGGAAGAGTGCACAGGAAGGAAACGAAGAGAGCGGGACGTGTCAGAACAAGAGGAAGCATTACAGTGATTCACCTCAGAAAGCCAAGAATGGAATCGATATCTTTCGATCGCTGAGCCTTCGTTGGGAAGTTGAGTGAGAACGGATTCTCCTCCACCATGAGCGATCTCAATGTGGATATGGCGGAGAGTTCAGGAGGAAGCGCCTCAAGCTCGTTGTGCTGGGCTGACAAGCTCGTCAAGTTCGTCAGCAGCTCAATCTCTGCTGGGATCCTCTTGAGAAGGTTGAAGTCGACTGTGAGGTCTGTGAGGGAGGGTATCCAGCAGATCTCTGAGGGCAAGGAGAACAAACTCCACTTGTTGAGCGAGAGCTGTCTGGACTCTCGAGCCCTCTCGAGGATCAAGAGGTACGACAGGGTAAAAGTCATTCCTTTGCCGAAAATCTCAGCTGGAGGCGAGATGAGCTTGTCCGGGTCCAGCTCGAGGAGCATCCCATGATCGTGCACCACTCCGAGGCTGCTGGGGATGAGCTGGATGTCGTTGCCCAACGCGCAGAGACAGGTGAGGTGCCTTGCGTACCCGATGCTGTCCGGGAGCTTCTTCAGCTTGTTGGACTCCAGGTCGAGCATACGAAGCTGTGACAGCCGGTGGCCGAGCTCTTCAGGGAGATGCTCGATCTTGTTCCTCGCCAGGGAGAGCACAGTGAGGGAGGAGAGGAGGAGAACTTCAGCTGGCATTGTGCTCAACTTGAGGTTACTCAGGTCCAAAGTGTGTGTCCTGGTCGACTCGTCGAGCTTCTTGAGGTACCAAAAGAATTTCTCCCCGTGGAAATGAGCATCCGGCAGGTTTACAGTCGACTCATCAAACAGTATCTCCTCCAGCTTGCTGAGTCTGCCAAGAGAAAGAGGGAGGTGCGTGAGAGAAGAGTTCATCTGAACATTCAGCTTCTCGAGATTCTTGAGATTGCCTACCTCGTCGTCAATTCCCTCAAGCTGATTGTTGGTAATCGACAGACATTTCAGCCTCATTAGCTTGAACAGACAAGCAGGAGGTCGAGAGAAGCCATTCAAGTCCAGCAGGACTGTCTGGAGATTGATGAGTTTGCTGGTGCTGTCTGGCAGCTCGGCAAGTTTGTTGCTGCAGAGTGACAAGCACGTCAAGTTCACCAGCGTTCCCAGCTTGCTCGGCAGGTGCTGCAGTTGGTTGTCGTCAAGCCGGAGGAAGTTGACGTTCCATTCCAGCTGGATATCATCGGGATAGAACCGCAGGGACTGCCCTACAATGTCTACCTTCCCTGTCTGGAGGGCATGGTGTAGGCACTTGAGATACCTCTTGAGCGCGTCGACCCCCCGGTTCACGATGTCCTGCAGGTGAGGGCGCAACGGGTTGCCCTGCAGGTCCAGGGTCTCCAGCTCGACCAGTAGAGCCATTTCAGCTGGGATCCTGGTGATCCTGTTCTTTGACAGATCCAGCGCGGTGATACCTGAGAGATAGGCGATCTGGAGAGGAATATCGCGCATCCCACAGTTGCTCAGGTCAAGTTTGCCTAGCTGGGCAGCATTCGCAACCTTCCTGAGGTATAGCAACACTTCTCTTGTCCCCTTGCCGCAGACATCAGCTGGGGGAAACACCATCTTTTCCTCGTCGAGCTCTAGAGCGTTGAGCTCGAGCAAGTGACTCATCTCCAAGGGCAAGCTTCTCACTTGCGTGTCCTTGACCGAGAGAGTTCGGAGAGAAGAGAGAAGAGAGATGCTCGGCGGAAGGATACTAACAGGATTGCTGCTCAAGACAAGATGCTGCAGCGAGGGGATGAGAAACACGGAGGTTGGGACCTTTGCAAGGTTCATATTGGTCAGATCAATCGATCTCGTCATCTCAGCATTGTTCAGCCTCCTCATATAGTCAAGAACCCTTCGCCCTCCCTGCCTGACGATTTCCTTGGGGATCGAGTCGAAGTTCTGGCCGTCAAGATGGAGGGTGTCCAACTTTGACAGCGACGCGAACTCAGGAGGCAGAGATTGGATCATGTTGCCGGTAATGGACAGCTCCTTCATCTGTGTGAGCAATGGGATCGTGCTGGGGAGCTCTTGGAATCTGTTGTTTGATAGGCGCAGGATCTGCAGCTGAGACAGAGCCGAGAGGGACGGTAGGGAGTCGAGAAGGTTGTCAGCCACGTTGAACTCTAGCAGGTTTGCCAGCTTTGTGATGTTGGGCGGGACATCGACTAGTCCGCACTTCCTGAGCGAGAGGACCTGGAGAGTGGTCATCTGCATCGTGACTGAAGGGAATTCTCCCATCTGATTGCCGTCAGCGCAGAGTTTCTTGATCCGACTGAGCGCTGACAGCTCCTGGGGAAGCATCAAGATCATGTTGTGAGCGAAGGAGAGGTTGATGAGAGACCCTAGCTGGACGATGTTGGTGTTCAAGTCCTTCAACATGTTGTCATCGATGATGAGGGATTGCAGTGTTGTCAGCCCGCAGACACTGTCCGGCAGCTGCGTCAGCTTGTTGTTGGCCAGGGCAAGCACCTGCAGAGCCTGCAGGGAGCTGACGGACTTGGCAATGTCTCGGATGTCGTTGTTGTTCAGGCTCAACTTCACTACCGACGTCTTCTGCAGGCAGTCGCTCGGGATCTCCGACAGGCTCATCCCGTTGAGCTGGAGATGACCCTGGTCATGAGCAGCGTCAAGCGCGCGGAGGTAGGCGAGGGTCCAAGGGAGAGTCCTCCTGCGGACGTAGAAGTCCGGGGGGGAGACAAGCTGATTGTCCATCACTTGAAGGGTCTTCAAGGAAGTGAGGATTCCAAGTGGAGGGGGGAGAGAGGTAAGATTGTTCTTGCTGAGCGAGAGGAAGGTAAGGGATGAACAGTCTGAGATTGCAGCTGTCAGCTCAGTAAGCTTGTTGTTGTCGACCAAGAGAGTGTCCAGCTGCTTGAGAGCTCCGAGGCTTCCCGGCAGGCTTGTCATGAGATTGTTGCGGAGGTCGAACAGCCGAAGATGGAGGAGGCGGGAGACGTCTTCTCTGAGATGGCGCAAACCCGTATCCGACAAGTTGAGGTGGGTCAGGCCGAACGACGCGATGTAGGTGTGACAAGAGAAAGATTGCATCTTCAGCCCAGAGAGGTCAACCTGCTTGGAAGAAGGAGCCCCTTGCAGCTTGCCGAGAAACAATTTGACCGTCTCCCAGCTGCTCTCAACAATGAAGGCAGGAGGGAAGTCGATATCGTTGTCAGAGAAGTCAAAGTCCTTGAGACGCTTGAGCTCTGCCATCTGGATGGGAATGGTTGTGAGGCGATTGTGAGTGACGTAAAGATACTTGAGGCTGGACATGTTGCATATCCACTCAGGCAGGGTCTCGAGCAAGTTGTGTGACATGTTGAGGTGGGAGAGAACTGTACAATACTGCAGAGTGGCAGGGAGAGACGAGAAGTGATTTCTCGATAGATCAAAGAACGTCAGGTTTGACAACCTTGCGAGGTCTGGCAAAGTTGTCAGCTCGTTCCCTGCCATCCGAATCTCATTCAAGGTAACGCACAACCCCAGAGACGGATCTAACTCGTCAAGGAAGTTGTTCTCCAGCAGCAGCTTTGACAGCAACGAAAGCTGCTCCATGGACTCAGGAATCCTCGCGATCTTGTTGGAGGACAAGTTGAGCTCAGTGAGGATGGGAACCCTGAAAGCTTCTCTTGGGAAAGAAGAAAGCTGCTGTGAGGAAAGGATCATCTTGCCTGTCACCAGCGCCATGGCCTCCAAACGCAGGAAGGCGACAAGAGCCTCTCCCTCCTGGGCCTCGAGGAGGTGAGGAGGGAGCGAAGTGAGCTGCGGGTTGTCTGCGAGCTTGATCTTCTTGAGCGAGGTAGAGAGAAACAGCTCGAAGGGAGGTGAGTCTAGATTGTTTGCAGCGAGTCCCAGAGACGACAAGTTGGTGAGGGACACCATTGAGAGGATCGGTAGCTCTGCAATCTGGTTGTCAGAGAGCTCAAGTTCCCGCAGGCTGTTCAAGGAAGAGATCGCCTCGCTGACTTTTACGATCTGATTGTTCTTGAAAGAGAGGACGGAGAGGTTGACAAGCACTGAGATGCTGCTGGGTACCTCCGTCAGGCTGTTGTCCTCGAAATGGAGGGACGTCAAACTCTTGACTGAAAACACTTCACTCGGGATGGCTTGTAGCATCGTCGAGCTCAGGTCGAGCTTCCGGTTCTTGTGCGCAGACTCGATGGACGCAAAGTAGGACATGACAGCTCGCTTCCCTCGCGAGACGAAAGTCATGGGAGGGGAGACGATGGGGTTCTCCGAGACGAGCAGCTGCTTCAGCTTGGGGAGCATCCAGATCGGACCCCGCACCTCGACCAGCTGATTCGAGCTGACATCCACTTGGGAGAGTTCCTTGAGCGGCTGGAGGATCTGCACGGGGAGAACAGTGATCTTGTTGTGTGAGAGATCGAGCTCCTTAAGGCCCGTCCATAATTGCAGGCAGGCTGGAGCTTGCAGGAAGTGATTGGACTGGATCGAGAAGCTTGTCAAGTTCGTCAAGCCGGTGAATTCTGCAGGCAGGGAGTCCAGCTGGTTGCGATTCAGGTTCAGGACCTGGAGGTTGGTCAACACTGAGACGACTGTCACATCGCGCAGCAGGTTGTTCTCGAGTGAGAGCTCGAGGACGTGAAGGAAGGAGCTCCACAGATCCGAGCTGAAGTAAGTGACAGGAAGCGATGTCAGGCCGAGGTTGGAGAGGTCCAACCTCTCACTCCTCATCCCCCCCATGAGGAGCGAGAGATATCTTCCCACATGCCGCGAGGCCGACAAGCTGAGCTCGGCCGCTGCTTGCTCCATTATCTGGGGGTCGAGGAAGAGCTCCTTCAGACTTGGACTTCCTCCTACGGCAACAGGGAGGGCAGTCAAGCTGTTTTCTCGAGCATCGAGCGAGGTGAGGAGGCTTGCGATACTGACGATGGGCTCTAAGGACTCGATGGAGTTCCGAGAGATGTCAAGGGACTTGAGGTCGGTCAGGCCCTTCACGAAGGAGGGGATGAAGCTGAGAGAAAATCCTGAGAGGTCGAGATGCTGGGAGCGGAGGGTTGAGTGAACCCCGCGAAGAAACTGCTTGATCCTCTCGATCCCTTGGGCCACCACAGGAGGAGGGGGAAGGTCGAGGTCCTCGTTATCGGCCAGGTTGAGATGGGTGAGACTTGAGAGGTTGCGGAAGCTAAGAGGAATCCTTGTCAGTTTGTTGTCGCTCAAAGTCAAAGTCTCGAGGTTGACAAGCCTGCCAACCCCCAGCGGGAGCTCCGACAGGCTGTTGCAGCTCAAGCGGATGGTTCGAAGCTTGTTCAGCTCACAGAGAGACTGCGGGAGCCTCGAGAGAGCGTTCTCGTCAGCGTCCAGCTCGGTGAGGGAGACGAGGGAGCCAAGGGCCTCGGGAAGCTCCTCTATCTTGTTCCTAGAGATCCTAAGACGAGTGAGGGAGGACAGGAGGGTGAGAGAAGAAGGGAGAGACTGCAGGACGTTGTCGCGAGCATCCAACAGAACAAGAGCACCGAAGAAATCCAGGTACGAGGGGAGATCGAGCAGCTGATTGTTTGCCACCCGGAGCTCCGTCAGCCCAGTTGAAGCGTTTAGCTGGAGAGGGAGGTGGGACAAGTAGTTCTTGTCGCAGTTGATCATCACCAAATCCCCCCACACGTCCTGGGGTAGCGAGAGCTCACGAATCCCCATCCCCGCAAGGTCGATCCTTCTTGTGTACCTACCCCTCTCCACCGTGCGCTGGAATTCGAGGATGGGCTTTACCCCGCGGACGAGAATCTCGGGAGGTGGAAAGTTGAGGTGACAGTCTTCAACCTGGAGGTGCGTCAGGTTGGTCAGAGTCCAGAGGCCTTGGGGGATGAGCTGCAGGGGGTTCGCGGAGAGGTCCAAACTTGACAGGCCAGCCATCTTGCGGATAGCGCCGGAGACATCCCTGATGCGATTGTTTGACAGGTCGAGCTTGACAAGGAGGACGAGATCGTTGAGCTCTACCTCGATGTCACAAAGGCGATTGTTGGAGGCGTTCAAAGACGTCAGCTGAGTCATGAGGTTGATCGGCCGCAGGCTTGTGAGTGAGTTGCTGGAAATGTTCACCTGAGTCACCATAGTGAGCTCAACGACTTCACCCGGAAGAGCCACGAGCCCGAGGCTGGAGAGGGCGATCTTTCCTGTCTCGTCTGCATCGCACAGCTGCTGCAAATATTTCATGATCGCCATGTGCCCCCTGTTGAGGATGAGAGGAGGGGGAGAGAGGATGTCGTTCCCCTCCCAGAGGATGGACTCTAGAGCATCACACTTGCCCAGGTTTCTAGGAAGCGATCGGATGAGGTTGTAACGGATATCAAGGATCTGTAAGCGCTGGAAGGAAGTGAAGAATAAAGGTAGTTCTTGAATCTTGTTATACGACAGGTTCAGCTGCGTTCAATGAGTCAAGTATAAACAGGGAGAGGGAGGGAGGGAGGGAGGGAGG